CATACCTCTATCACCCTCTCACAACTTTGATACGTGCCCGTTCTTTTCGTTCTCAAAGATATTTGTAAGCGTACCAATATGAGGCAGAATCTCCACCGCAAACTCATCGCCTCCCTTTAGCGAATCCTTGGGCGTCCTTCCCATTCCCACGCCAGCAGGGGTTCCAGTGATGATGACGGTTCCTGGAGGCAGTGTTGTGCTTTGAGATAACCAGCTGACGATTTGGGGGATGTTGAAGATTAGGTCACTGTACCTGGTTAATGATCTGTGAAATCTTTGGTATTGGGGATACTTGCTCAATGCCGCTTTCTTGAACGACCTTGTTGTTCTTGATACCTCTCATGTACAGCTTGGAGGGATCGGGAATTAGAGACTTGAGAGCAAGTGTTGGGCCTTCAAAAAGTTAGTCAACTTACCAAGACCGGTCGAGGAACCACTCACCTAGCGGACAGGCACCATCAAAGCTCTTGGAAAAGGACCATTGGGACTGGTTAAGCTGCTGAGTACGACTAGAAACGTCGTTGGCAGCAGTATATCCGAGGACATAGTCTAGAGCATCCGCCTCGCTCACGTTCTTGGCTGCCTTGCCAATGACTACGGCCAACTCTGCTTCGTAGTCGCCAGAGTCGTCAACCTGGGTGATCTTGGGGATGGTTCCTCGAGCTGGCCATGGGTCAAGGAGGGCTGTGCTAGGCTTCCTGGGCAGATGTCAGCTATGATAAGAGATCAATAGGTAGGCGTCACGTACATGAAAACTGTCGGAATGGTCGGAGGTTCAACACCAACCTCGGCGGCATGTTTCCGATACTAGGATGAAGCAATTAACTCATGACTTCAACCTCAAGTATGATGAGAATACGTACGTTCAAGCCAATGCACCGAATAGTGCCAACCTCGCTTTGTGCAAGAGGTGAAAGCACGCGGTCGATCGTCTCAGTAGCGCCAGTTGAGTTTCCAGGAGCCAGAACAGAGGAACCTGACCAGACATTGACGGCGACCTCACGGCCCTTGCGCAACGCAGCGCCGACATCAATGTCCTTGTCCGCGGGCTGACCGATGAGGATCTTGGAAGGATTAGATCTGGGTACGAAGCGCACGAGGCCTGATAATGTTAGAAGGTGATAGTTACTACAAGAAGAGACTTACGCTGGAGAGCAGTTGCTGCCATGATTTAGGTCTGTAATACCAAGCCCAGAGGTTTCAAAGAGAAAAATAGCTCGAAATACGGGTGCTACAAGCTCTTAAATGACGAAATCTAGATATTGCATGGGTCACTTATGATAAGCGCCCTGTAGCAATGCCGGCTTCGGCACCACCTACACCGACCATCGGAATGCGGGGCCGAAAATGCGGGGGACGTTTCGGGGGTGACCGGCATTGAGTCTCGGCCACTAGGATCCAAACCGTATAATCAGATTGGCTTCGGAATTATATACTAATTAGATTAGCTGCGTGTATTTCCGTGCTTCACTGGGGTCCGGGATACTCCTCATGTTGACTAATTGGCATCCATGTGTCTAGTTATTGCACCCGGCGAGAAGTCCACGCAAGAGCTCCGGCTATCTATATCCCGAGGTTGAGGTTGACTACTCATCAGCTCACTTCTCTCTTTCCTCTACATTCCAACTGAAGCGATACAATTACCATATACCATCATCACGAGTTTAACAGCAGTCATGGCATCCCAATCGCCCTCGCCCAGAGATGCCCGCAGCTTCCGTGATCATCTGCCGGATCTCACCATCCCCCGCTTTACAACCATGCAGAAACAAGATGTGTACGAATATGCCAAAGTATTCAAAGAAAACAAACAGCCGCCATGGCTTCATGCTCTCTACTGCCACTGGTTGGAGCTGTTCAATGAGCCATTCAAAGGGGTCACCAATGACGGCAAGTGGCATTTTTGCCAACGTCTTATGTCAACTAACACCATCCAGGCAATGTTCGACATGGACTCTTTGGCCTACAAGATGATGGGATCCCGATCAAGGATATCGTCCATGCCACGAATGGGCTTGTTCAACTTCTGGATGACAAGCAACGCCAAAAGACATGCTATCACATTGATTCGCCCGAATGGCGCACTTGGTCTAATCCCGAGTTTCTTCTCAGCGACAAGGGCATTCGGCTCGACGAAGTCTCTTCTGAGCAACGGACTGCGGTCATGCGAATTTTGGAACTGGCACTTTCCCCTGAAGGATACCAGAAGGCACTAGGAGCCATGCGCATCAATGGCTTCCTTGGTGAACTTGTCAAGGCCCCAGTCATCATGAACGAGTGGTCTTACAACTTTGTCCTCTTTGGTGAACCTGACACTGATAAACCCTGGGGCTTCTCATTCTACGGTCATCATCTCTGTCTCAACATTCTGCTTTACAAAACCCAGATTGTCATCTCACCTTGGTTTACTGGAGCTGAGCCAAATCTCATCGACGAAGGCCCATACAAGGGAACACGTATCCTACAGACTGAAGAACGCTTGGGACTGGAATTGATGACCAGTCTTTCGTCTGAGAAGAAGGAGAAAGCACAGGCCTTTAAGTTCATGAAGGACCCCAAGATGCCCGAGGGACGTTGGAATCACGACGATCAGAGACATCTCTGTGGAGCCTACCGCGATAATCGCATCGTGCCCTACGAGGGAATTCTAGTAGGCGACATGACGCCGGCGCAGCAGGATATTATCTTGGCCATCAGCAAAGAGTATCTTCTCTACCTCCCACAAAAAGCCCGTCAGGACCGACTCGACCAGATCAAGTCCTGGTTTCACGAAACCTACTTTTGCTGGATTGGAGGCTGGGCAGAGAATGACCCTTTCTACTATCGAATCCAGAGCCCCGTGGTCATTATAGAATTTGACCACCACTCGGGGGTTTTCCTCACCAACGAGGAACCGGCCAAGTTTCACATCCACACTCTCCTGAGAACGCCAAATGGAGGTGACTATGGTATGGCTCTTCGACCTCTGATGCCTCGAGTGAAGCAGGAATTTGTGTGGAAAGGATAAGCCAGAAGTTCCTTGTTGGAAGATTTGTTTGCAAAGTCGTTTGAGGAGCGTTTGTTGCAAGCGTGAATGGTTCCGGGTCCTACGAAGACGGATTGATAGCTATGGAGGACCTTGTAAATGAACCCAGTTTCGAACTAAGAGTGTACATCTGATGAGTATGGCCAAGGCGGTATAAGAGCTTAGCTAGTTTGCTCGTTCTCATAGAATCCAAGCTTTGATTCAAGTATTCCCGTTTTTGTAACCAACACCTATGGCAGATATATTTAACGACAGAGTAAGTCATCTTGAAATTCCGTGTTGATATGGAAGTGTGTCAACCACAGTTTCAGTTAAGCCGGTTGTAAATGGTTCAGACTACATCAAGACAACGCTATAGTACTTGGCGACTAAATGTTGTGCCTAAAGAATAGGTAGGCATGCTCATTGTATCTCCTTCTGCAATCAAGTATTTGCACAATTCGCATCATGTTCCTGTGCTTTTTTCTCCCTACGCGGGGTCGTTTATGGTCGTTTATGGCCCTTTCTAGTTGTGTGTCGCTTCTGCCGCCGCTCCTTCCTCGATAGCTCGCTCCCCGGCAGTTCGCTCCTTCCGTGCACTGCCTGAACAATGGGTTCTCACAAAACCAGATTTTTTTTTTTTTTTCTTTTCAATTTTGCGCTTCGTTCTGTTCCTTAACAACATCAACAGTAGCTAGGATGCTCCTTCCACCCCCTAACCTTGACCGACTACAGGCCCTCCTGGAAGAATACCTAGCTCCTAAGGAGCTAGGCCTGCCAGGAGGGATCGCCACAGAAGAGGAGCTTGTTTGGGCGGAAAAGGACTCCCCCGTGAAGGGGGAGTTTATTACTCCTGGCCCTTGGCCCTCTCTAGCCGCCGTCTTCATCACCACCTCCTCCTCCACGCCGCCGCCGCTGCCTGCCTCCGACGCAGCCCCTGCCGTCTCCTCACCGGGCTCCTCCCCCTCTGTCGCCCCCCACCGCCGCCGACGACGCATTCACCGGCTCCTCTCCTGCTTCTCCTCCTGCTTCTCCTCCTGCTTCTCCTCCTCCTCTTAGAAGTGGTGCCGTATGGTTTCTGGGGTCCTCCTCTTTTTTGCGTTGGCCACTTTTCTTTTTTTTTTCCGGACCTTCGCTTCTACCTTCATCCTCCCTACCTATGTTGGCAGAAAGGGCTAAAACCCATCTGAGTCGGTACTATGGTAGGATATCTTCTATTCCACATGTTTTCTGTCCCAAGGCTAACGTACAAGTGAAGGGATCGGAGAGAAAGAGGGTTGTGTCCTGAAGAAAGAAAGATGTGGTGATGGCGGGGGAAGATGGAGGAGAAGAGGGAGCCTGGGGGAGAGTTGGAATTTTGGTCGCTGATTCATAGTCACAAACTAGCTGAGAAATCTGGCAGCATTAAACACGATGGTCGACGATTTACAGCCGCAGACTAGCTTGACGAATGGAGAGAAAAAAGCCACGATTAGTGATTCACTGTCACAAACTAACTTTTAGTGCTGACGAAACGTACATTATCTGTAGTAGGGGTAAAGCACTATTAAACACTGCCAGTATAGAGGTTAGAATATCATAGCTTGCATGTTAAATGTACCTGTTTGGAAGTAAAACAACATAGTCATGCTTCCTACATTCGATGCATAACAACGTCATTTCATTAAACAGCCAAATCAATATTCAGCTCTTAATACTTCATATCATCTATCCAACTAAGTGCCCTGACTGCTTTCATCGTGTAAGTGAGAGTGGGCGGGCTGATTGGTCGAGGTGCAAATGTGAATCCATTTCGGGAATCGTTGTTGGACGTGCCGTATCACGTGACTGTGCGATGTTCGGCTGCGCTACGGGTGGGGCGGCGGGCCACCCCACCGCAATAGTGCGAATCCAACACAGCGAGTCAAGGGGGCCATCAAAGAGCTTCTGGGATTGATTTGAACGCATTTGAACAAAAAGAATTCGTTTTAAAAGAAAAAAAAAACTGTAAAAAGATTACGAGAGCCGAGAATCGAACTCGAAGCTCAAGCATGGGAAGCCTGAATGTTACCCTTACACCACTCTCGTGTCGTTTGCGACACAGCCATGCCAATTTTGGAGGCGATGTTCTCAGACACAGCTTATATATCCATTTAGTCGTCAAGGAGCTGCAACCAGGTCACTCCGGGGGTTCAGACCAATTGTATTAGCTCTTCCAGCGGATACTTCAATTACCACTGAATCTTGCCTCGAGATCAAGTACCCATAGCATAGTATTCTAACAGGTGAGATCATTCTTACCACATAACCCGGTTATCCCAATAACACTGGGGCGAAGTACGGCCTGCAGCTCCTTGACGATAGTGAGCCAAAAGTGGGACAGCATAGCACTCAACCATGTGGGGTATCCAAGTTGGCCAACCCCTCCACCATTTCCGCTGAACACCTCCCAAGCTTCACCCTGCTTCACCTTCGACGTCACCCGCCATTATCATCACCACCTCTCCCGCCTTCCTCTCCGCCTCACACTCCGAAAAAAATCCACGATGGCTAGCAAGGTCGACCGTATAGTAGCCCGGCTACAGGCCAAGATCGAAGAGGGCGACTACTACGAGGCCCAGCAGCAGACCCGTGTCGCCGCCTCCCGTTACATCAAGACGTCCAACTGGCCCGCCGCCATCGATATCCTCTCGAATGTGGCTCAGGCGTTGCTTCGCGCCGGCCAGGGTGGAAGTGGAGGCGATTTGTGCATCATGCTGGTCGACGTCTACAAGCAGGCAGAGCTGAAGCCCGATGGTACCTCCAAAGGGAGGCTGCTTACTTGCCTGCGGCTGTTCGATGCTGAGGAGCCTACGAGGAAGCAGTTTGTTGGCGAGATTATTGCGTGAGTACTACAGTGTCCCGGATGATAATACGTGTAACTGACAGACGAATAGGTGGTCAGCCAAGTTCGGCGAGTATCCTGCCGGAGACCCAGAACTTCACCACGTTGCCGGATCGCTCTACGCCGAGGAACATGAGACATACGAGGCGGAGAAGCATTTGATATTGGGTACCAAGGATTCGCCCGAGGTTTTGACAAAGATGGAGTATACGTGGTACAAGGAGGGTGAGCCTCACACGGCAGCTCTTTTCGCTGGTCGTGCCGTTCTGCCCTACCTCCTCATTGGCAACGTCCGCGCTGCCAACACTTGCTACCGTATCTTTACCAGCGCACTCTCCAGCGACAACCCGAATATCGGCGTCCAGGATGTGTCGAGCGCCGCCGGTGATATCCGCATCTTCCCTAGCATCCCACTCCTCAACTTCCTGGGCTTCCTGCTCCTTGCCGTCCAGCGGGGTGCACCTGAGCTCTTCCGGGCGCTCGTGTCCAAGTACGCGACGCAGATCAACGAGGCCGGGACGTGGGGCGAGGCGCTCGAGATGGTTGGGGAGATGTACTTTGGTCTGGCTAAGCCCCGACAGAGCAACCCTCTAATGGATATGATGAGCGGCTTCTTTGGAGGAGCCGGCGGCGGTCAGGAGCAGCCGAAGCGGAGACAGGTCACGCAACGGCCAGATGCTCCCGCTGCTGAGGGCCTGGACTAAATAAGGGTTGGTTTTCGTGGACGGTTTGTGTACCATAGAGTCTTGAGAGAAACATCCATAGACAGCAGGCGTTGTGAGGTCGGCGAAAGGAAAAAAAGACTTGGTTATCCGCGTGGCTGTTCTTCGGGTTCAAACATCCAATTGTCTTCGGCGAGGGCCGCCACTTTTGCTCTCAAACTCGTCTTGACAGCTTCGAGGAGTTCTGCACGTGAGGTGAGCCACATGGTGTGATGATCTGGAGTGAGATGGTGTACCTTCTGGTTGCTCTGGGACTGTATTCCGATTAATCTGATGATGCTTGACGGCTTCAGCCAGTCGCTGTCTCTCCTCTGTCACCAGTGTTAGCTTCACTCATAAAAGGCGTCGCAAGTAAATAGCATACTCTCAGTCTCCTGCCGGTGATCCAGCGGCACATCATCCTCGTCCTCAAGCATCGGTGTCGGCGGGTCTCCAAGCTCAATCTCGCCGTGCTTGTCACGAACGACAATCTCAGAGGTGTCTGACAGGACGTCGACGTCGAGGTGCAGCGTCTCGGCCGACGTGGACGATGAGCCTCCCGTAGGTCGCCGGGTCAACTGGCTCTGGAACAGATTGCGACGGACTGATGCAGCGGAAGATGTGCCATTCCGCGTACGCGAAACGCCGTTGCCGTTTGTTGCTGCGCGTGAGCGGTCAGACATGACGTGTGTGAGTGAATATTATGCAGAATGTAGGACTTTTGTGTTTGTTATGTTGTCCAAGAGGTGATGCGTAGTCAGATGCGGGTTCTATGTATGTGTGTTGACTTTGTGTGGGGATGCGCCGGGGTACGCTCTGCTCTAGTGAGCTTGGGTAACCGCCGAGTCGAAGAAAGTGCATTCTGGCAATGGATCTTGTGCTCATCTAGCATGGATCCAATTGTAATGGATGCGATTTAGGCCCCTGATATTACGGAAATGGATGCCGCCGCAGTTCATTAGGTCAACTCCATTCTCCCAGCGTTAGTTAGACCTGACAGGCTGTCAGTTTGCATAATGAACTTTAAACTCATGCTAATCCTGACAACGCTTATAAACCGAGCTCCTAAATCTGTAAATCGACAGTAGTCGATGAATCCCCAATAACTATAATCTCCTGGTCCAAAATCTTCGTGCTCAGATCATGACCGCCATCACCTATCCGTTGATACTCGTCGTTGCAGCTCATTCTTCCACATTCATACTTTGAGAAACTGCTCTTATTCGTACACCGAGAGCTATTCCTAGGAACGTAGCTCAACCCATCAATGCGCCTCGACACCCACACGGCCCTCGTTCTTTCGATCTAATCTTGTCTGGCTGTGTTTACAGAGAAAGGTTGTACGAGTACTCGTCCTCCATGTTCTGGCTCACCCAAAGAACAACGGAGCTGTGTTGTATTAGCGGTGCAGAAGCATTGGACAGAGTTAAACTTACCTGACGCCAACAAGAGCGTTGCTCACGAGGTTCTCGATACCCATGCCCAGAGCAGGCATGGCAACGCTGGGTACAACAAACTTGAGAACAAAGACAGTAACACCGCCAGCCATTCCACCAGCAAGAGCCGCAAAGCCCAGGAAAAGAACAACACGTGCCTTCCATGCGACTCCAGATCCGCTATAGCTGAAAGAGTCGGCGCTGAGGCGCTGCTTCTCGACCGAGTTGATGATGAGCATGCCCAAGCTGGAAAAGATAAAGGGCAGCCAGTCGACAAACTTGACATGGACGTCGGAGCCGTTCCTGGGCGACTTGGACCAGACGGCCGAGTCGAGCATGACGTAGAATGCGACGGAGAACTGGTAGGACGTGGTCAGCCTTGCGATCCGGAAATTGCAACAGAGCGAAGCGGCGTGGGCGGTTTTCGCGGTATGGAGATCCAGGCCAACCAAAACATCGCGAAAACAACCCCATCATGCTTCATAGGACCAACGTACGATAGCTCCGGCAGCGTAGACACCAGCGTTGCGGGCCCAGACGCTGTTGAGCCACTCAGGCTTTCTAAACTTCCAGAGACGCTCCTCCTCCATATTGGCGGCTAGGGATTGGTCGCGGGGGTTCGGGTTGATCGGTAAAGAATCTCGTAGGGGCCCCGAAGCTTCACAGGTGGATTCGGGATGTAGGTCGTGTTCGGCCGATGATGTTTCGTTGGCGATGTTCAGAACCGGAGGCTGACGATGACGAGGCTCGCGCACCCCATGGGACCGGCCTTGCTGTAGCGCCGACGGAAGGTCACGTGCGCTGTCCGCCATGGTTATGGTCTGTGCACCTCTTCAATGTTGGAGAGACACCAGGCGTGGTGAGCACAACGTGGGGGCCTTGGGTCTTCCTGCAAAACACAAATCATCAACAAAGCGGCTCACGCGGAGACACGAGAAGTCAAGGAGAGCCATGTCAGTTTACCCCGCTGGCCGGTGCGAGGTCGATCGAACCGGACCCTGAAAATGTGAGCTGGCACATGGATGGAGAATTGGTGACCAGTGATATTTTTGACTTGCCATGCGTCAGCAATCCCATCTTGTCGTTCGCAGAGTCTATTTTGCACTCTAAGTTGGCTAAAAATAAAATAAATACATTTGCTATTCACTGATCTGATGGAAAAAAACCCTGCAGGTCGTGTTGTGACGTGCTTGATACCTCATGACAGGCATCTGCAAGAAGGTTTCGGTTTATGCAGGCGTCGCTGTCAATGGCCGTTGCTGAATCTTGCTTGTGCGTTGCGTTGCGTTGCGTGGTTGCGTGCGCTCAACGGCCGGATACTGTACATGTCTAGCTGCAACCTGCCGCGTCAACATGGAAAGCTACAGAAAGCCACGAAAATCCCAAACGTCTGGTCGTCGGGTGCACATGGTGAGGGGAGCCAAGATCAGAAATTGCAATTGTGGTTGTTGATCTCGACAAGTAAACCAGGCAACGGGTATTGAGGGATAACTCTCATAGGTTGGTGTGTGTAAACCAAGACGCTCCTGTGGTTGCTTTTCCACAGCAACCAGCCGGGCAGTGCCGAAGGAAGCGGTGGGCTAAGCCAGCCACGAGGGCGGCTGAAGAGCGCTCCAGGTGCCAGAAAACAAGCTGAGAGCTGACCACCACAACGGAACCTGGCGGCTGGCTGCTTTGGGGAGGTAGGGACGGCGCGATAATTCGCAGCCCCGTCCGTAGGCGCTGTAAATCAGGCGGATTACCGAGAGAACAGAGCGGCGATGGCGTTGCTGCAAAAGTGGCACCCCCTGAACTTCACGGGTTCGCGCCGTAGGTTTACGCGGAGTTCAATAAGAGCTGACGAATAAAACCCCCAGATCATGACGGACCTAGGCCTGTTCAAGCAGTGGCCGCTGCTCTTTCAGTTACGCTACTCCCCTTTGATACTCGCGTCCTCCTCCCACTCAAACGCTCGGCCCAGAATTGGACAGGCATCTGGAAGAGAAGGGAAGGAAGAAAGGCACAGCAAAGTAGGAACAGCCCCAGTCCCTGGCTCATCAGGGCCTCTGTCGTGCGACCCCGTTTCTC